GCAGCGTGGAGAGTCAGGGAGGGCTGGGTGGGGGTTGTTGCCGAATTACAGGAACTGGGTATCAGATGCTGAGGTCATTGAGGGCCTACAGTGGTCACAGGAGAGGGGTAAGAGGTTTCTTTCCAGAGATTTGGGGGCTGGTCTGCAGCATGGGCCACCCTGGGGGATGGGGTTGGACACGAAGGAGTCAAAGGCTCCTCCCTGGGACCTCCTAAGCCAGGACCCTAAAAAGACCTCTGTCCCACAGCCCTGAGCCTGGAGATGAGGGGGAGCCGGGACGGTCGGGACTCGAGCTGGAGCCAGAAGAACCCCCTGGCTGGCGGGAGCTCGTCCCCCCAGGCACTCTGCACAGCCTGCCCAAGAGCCAGGTGAAGCGGCAAGAGGTCATCAGTGGTGAGTGCCACCCCTTCCAACCCACTGCGGCCGAGGACACAGCGCACATGCAGGGAGATGTCCACCTCAGTGTTGTTTACAACAGGCTGAGCTTGAAGGCAGCCTGTCTCTTACCACAGAGGACTATTTGTTAAGTAAATTCTAGAAGCCTCCATGGAACAGGGATGCAGCAATTGAAATGACGTTTCCAAAGAATTCTTTGTAGCCCAGGCCAGAGCTGGTGTTAAGAGCCAGAAACGGGCTATAAAACTGTATTTCTAGCATTAAGCCTTTGTTTCCTTATTTGTGAAACATGGACAGTGTTAGTTCTACTTCAAAAGACTCCCGAAGTGGGGGAGGGTATTGCTCAGTGGTGGAGCACATGCTTAGCATGCACGAGGTCCTGGGTTCGATCCCCAGTACCTCCATTAAATAAATAAATAAATAAACTTAATTATTATCTCCCCCCCCCAAAAAAAGCAAAACAACAAAAAAATTTGTTTTAAATAAATGTCACTTCTTTAAAAAAAAAGACTCCTGAAGCAGAAGATAAGACGGTTGGTGAGCACTGTCATAGTGGTGGACACAGGGTGAGAGCATTTGAATGTGACCCCTATTATTACTATGATCTTGAGCGCTCAGGGGAGAAAAAGATTCCCACAGGGAAAAGTTTGAAAAGATAATCAATATATTAGTGGTGCTTCACTTCGGGGCAGAGAGACAGTGGGAGTCTCGTTTTCGCCGTGATTCTTTGCTGTGATTTCAAATTGTGCATGTATAGAGTGGGGCTTGGCAAATGTAGAGGACTTTTGGGAGCTCAGCTGGAAGTTAGTTTACAGATTACTTAATAGTAGGAAGGGTTCTCATTCAGAACTTGGGGGCCATATCCTTCTGAGGATATGATCTGTCTGGAATGATGGTAATACGCACTATTGTGCTTTCCAGCACAGTAACCACCAGCCAATGGCTGTTGAGCACTTAAAGTGTGGTGGATATAACTGAGAACTGAATTTTGCATTCTGTTTTATTTTAATTAAGCAAAATTTGGCGAGCTGTGTGTAGCTAGTGACTACCACGTCAGACAGCATAGCAGTTTCTCTCAGCAGAAAAAACATGCATGTGTAACACACAAAATCAGACATTTAGTCTCCAGGGACTTCTGGGGCCCCTGGGAACTCAGGCATGCACCCTCTGGGGGCCCCTGGATCCAAGGCCATCACCCTGTGCATTGATGATCTGGGATCCGTGCCCCAGAAACTGACCTGAGAAACTTGGATGATTAGATACAAAACATGTGCCGCAGGCACTGAGGTGACCAACTCGTCTGGGTTTGCCTGGAACTTCCCCGGGTTCAGCATTGAGGATCCCATGTCCTGGGAAACCCGTGGTACAGGGCAAATTGGGACCAGTGGTCACCCTCGCTGGCTGCCATGGCCAAAGCAGAAAGGCTGTGGGTGAAGGAATTCTCAGTGGCGATTTCAGGGGCAAGTGACTCCACCCAGTGTCCTGTCCCCTCCTCCTCATCCCCCAGCCTGCCTCTGAGACTGTCCCCCCATAGCTTGCATGCTCCCCAACCATGCCTCCTGCCTGGTGGCCCTGCAGAGCTGCTGGTGACGGAGGCGGCCCACGTGCGCATGCTCCGGGTGCTCCACGACCTCTTCTACCAGCCCATGGTGGGCGCGGGCTTCTTCCCCCTGGATGAGCTACAGAACATCTTCCCCAGCCTCGACGAACTCATCGAGGTGCATTGTGAGTGCAGGACTGTGGCCCTACTATGTGCCCCACTGCCGGCTCCCTCCTTGGCAGCCTCAGCAACTACCCTGGAGCTTAGCACGGTCTCCTTGCTCACCTATGACAACGGGCAGCCTCTGTTCTAGTACTGGGAACCCCCCCCAGAACCCCAGAGCTCCACTTATAGGGGCACATCATCAACAAGCATGTGGTGGGGGGAGGGGGCGGCCAGGCTCACCCCCAAGGATCAGACATGCCCAGCTGCAGCCTGACCACCCCCCAGCTCCTGACCAGCTCTGCATACAATCTTGCGGGTCCTGACAGAGCACCCCCTTTCCTCTCTGCTCCCCACAGCCCTGTTCCTCGATCGCTTGATGAAGCGGAGGCAGGAGAGCGGCTGTCTCATTGAGGAGATCGGAGATGTGCTGCTGGCCCAGGTGAGGTCGCCCAACCCAGCCTCCCCCATCCCCGCCCACCCCCACGGAATCCAGGCCCCAGGAGGACAGGTCTCAAGCCTCACCCTGCCCCACTCCACGGCCCGAGGGTCTGGGTCCCTAGCCCTGTCCTCCTATCTAGGCTGCCATCCGTGCGAGGCCCTACTCCTCCCAATCCCACCTGAGACACCCTCCCTGGCCTGAATCTTGCTGTAGTTTGATGGTGCCGAAGGCTCCTGGTTCCAGAAAATCTCCTCCCGCTTCTGCAGCCGCCAGTCATTTGCCTTAGAACAGCTCAAAGTCAAACAGCGCAGGGATCCTCGGTTCTGTGCCTTTGTGCAGGTGAGGCGGGGGTCTGGGCCCCAGGGTCTGGGGGCAGATGGGCTGGGGGCGGCGTTTGGTCCCCAAGGCCAGCCCTAGCACTGCCACCCCTGCAGGAGGCCGAGAGCCGCCCAAGGTGCCGCCGCCTGCAGCTGAAGGACATGATCCCCACGGAGATGCAGCGTCTGACCAAGTACCCGCTGCTCCTGCAGAGCATCGGGCAGAACACAGGTAGCAGCTGGCTCCACCCCACCCTTCTGGCTCCCAGCTCTCCTGTCTCTAACTTTGGCTGCAGGACTGGGAGCTTCCAAGGTTGGGGTTCACCAGGGCTGGCCTCCTCCTTGTCTGCAGAAGAGCCAGCTGAACGAGAGAGAGTGGAGCTGGCGGCTGAGCGCTGCCGGGAAATCCTGCACCACGTCAACCAAGCCGTGCGAGAGATGGAGGACCTGCTGGTGAGCCTGGGTGGGGCCCTGGGAAGTGGGGTGTGCCTGGGCAAGGGCCAGCTGGCCCCCGGCTTGCCCCCCTCGGGGTCACTGTGGGTCCACCCTAGCCCTTGGCTTGTCCCTGTGACACCCCCTTCCCTGTCCCAGCGGCTCAAGGATTATCAGAGGCGCCTGGATTTGTCCCATCTGCGGCAGAGCACCGACCCCATGCTGAACGAGTTCAAGGTGTACCCCCACCCTACCCCCTCCCCTCCTCTCCCCTTCCCTCCACCCTCCCTGGCCCTGGGGCTTCTCTGATAATACACGCAGGAAGCAAGAGGGGCCCCCTCAGTTCTGACCCTCTTCTCATTCCCAGCCGGGCAGCTACTCCTGGCCCCATGGTCGGCCCCCCCTCCCCTGCCCTGCCCTCGCCTTCGCCAACTGTCACTCCTTTCTGCCTCCAGAACCTGGACATCACCAAGAAGAAGTTGGTCCACGAGGGCCCGCTGACGTGGCGGGTGACGAAGGACAAGGCTGTAGGTGAGCACCAGGACAGTGAGTGGGGGATGCAGGGCGGGGTGTCGGGGTTGTGGGGCTGCTGAGCACAAGCCTGGCCACCCCCCAACAGAGGTCCACGTGCTGCTGCTGGACGACCTGCTGCTGCTGCTCCAGCGCCAGGACGAGCGGCTGCTGCTCAAGTCGCACAGCCGGACGCTGACGCCCACGCCCGATGGCAAGACCATGCTGCGGCCGGTGCTGCGGCTCACCTCCGCCATGACCCGCGAGGTGGCCACCGGTGAGGGCCCGGGCGCGGCTGTCCCCCAGAGTAGGGAAGGAACCCCCTAAAGAGCCAGGCGCGCACATCCTGGCAGAGGGAAGGCCTGGCAGCCTGAGGCCGAGACTGTGAGAGGGAGGCCCTGGGCTGGCCAAGCTGGGGCGCCAGGCTGGATGGTGGATTTTATTAAGAAAAGTGGGAAACTGCCCCAGGTTTTTGCACAGAGGAGCAGCCAGTTCTAACCGGTATTTTGTAAAATCATCCTGGCTGCCTCTTGGGAGTTTTAGGGGGTTGGTGGGAGCCAGGAGCCCAGTGAAGGGCCCCAGTGGTGGGAGCAGCTCCTGGGGTTTTGTAGGTAGAGCCAGACTGATGACTCGTTTCCTGATTAAATGAGAGAGGGCTCCAGAGGGGGCATAGGAGGGGTGAATTGGGTGCTCAGAGCCCTGAGGGTGCCACCCTTGTGGGGAGCTCCCCCAGCCTCTAGCCCAAGCTCAGGGAAGGCACACATTGGGGTGACCCTGGCTCCGAGCCCCGCCTCTC